GTTTCGATTGGCCAGAATGAAGTTTTCGTTTGAGTTGTTTGAATCAAGAAACTAGGGAAAGTAGATAGACTCAATCGAAGAAGCTCTAATAAGGAGGTTTCTGAACACTTCGAATCAAGACTCTAGGCCAATCGAAGACAACACTGGAAGGCATTCGAAAGACAAAGGTGTCCAGGTTCATTCAAGATCCCAAAGAGGCATGAATATTTCAAAAAAAGGAAATCTTTTAATATGTTTGATTTTGGTATCATTGCTTTCAAAGCTGGTTAACGACTGTCTCTTTCCATTTCCATGCACATCACACTCCTATAAATACAAGGCCTAGGAGACGTTGCAAAAGGGACGAAAAAAGAGGAGACCACATACATACGCACACACACTGGAGACATAAGCCCAAGAACCATACACATATATTGCCTTACACACATACACAACCTAAGAGAAGCGCACCAAAAACTCTCAAAAATCGACAAGATCACACCACACTTGCATCTCTCCTTTCGAATCCAGGAGTATCCAATAAAATCCAGTCCACACACAAGTTCCAGTTCCATGCCAGGTAAGTCCTCTTGACCTAGCATCTTTTCATTTCAGCATAACATGTAAATAACCTTTTACTTACTTTTCGTTTCAACATAATATATAGATAGCCTCTTAGTTATGTTCTTCATTTCTTCCCTCTTGGTTTGTTTGCTTTTCTTGTCCGTATATATGTTGGAACTAACCTGTATAGATTCAAACGAAAGACAAAAAAAGTGTGAATGAAGGATATACACTTATGCTGCTCTACAGGTCCATATTACTTCATATTCTAAATCGAAAGAAGCAGAGAAGGTTGCAATTGAAGGTGGCTCATACCCACTTCCAAGCTCATTCGAAAGAAGCAGGAAAGGGTGCAATAGAAGGTTGCTCATACCAACTCCCAAACTCAATCGAAAGAGGTAGGAAAATGTGCAATCGAAGGTTACTCACGTCAACTCTCAAGCTTAATCGAAAGAAGGAAAAAGAAGGGTGAATCGAAGGAGTCTATTTCTTGGATCAAAGAATTAATTTCTCTTCTTTATTTTGTTCTTTGTTTTTATATTTTTTCTTGTCTTTCAATTTGGTTGTAATAGCGTAGGACCCTTACTTTCTGCATTTTTATTGCGTTTCATATCAACTGCTAGATGTATGACTAATAGGATTGTATGGCAAAGACTAAAATCAAACGCTAGCAAACCTAACAAAAAAGATAAATAACGAAACAAGCACATTTGAATATATACACTTCTAGGTTAAGCCCACTTTGGTTTCCTTGAAAAAAAAAACAGTCATGTCCCTCGAAATAGGGACGCTTTATCAAAGACCCGTAAATCAAAAGATCATAGTCCCTCGATGACCCTACAGTTGCCTTTCGGTAAATGATCTATTCCCTAAACAAAATTGCTAAAACGTCTCTACATATTGCCTTTATGACTGTACGTCCCTTCAAATGTCCCTTAAACATCCAACGATATGGCTACCTACTCACTAATAGTAGGATAATACAGTCTAAAGGATAAGATCTAAAGAATAAACCTTTTTGAGTATAAGTAGATAGTTCCTAGTGAAGAAGTGAAAAACACAAGAAGGGGGGGGGGGGGGGGGGGTTGAATTGTAAAACTGAAAATCAATGCAATGAACAAGATATTTTTATCCTGGTTCGTTTGATCTCGAACTACTCCAGTCCACCCGTCAAGGTGATTTCGCCTCTCTCCAACGAGGTCTTAATCCACTATATTCAACTGAATATTACAAACTGCTTTAACAACTGCTAAAGCCTTCTTGATGCAAACCACAACCCGGTTTGTCAAGGAAACATTTTCTTACAAAGAAGATAAATCTAAGTGTGTGAATGTTTTCTACAAAACTGTATCACAACTGTGATGTATACACAACTTAAGCTTATGAAACTAGATTGCTAAACAATGATTGAGTAAGGAGATATGTAGCGTTTAGCAAACTGAGAGAAGGAAGATTATGATTAGCTTTTAGGCGTGTAAAATGTTGGAGAGCATTAGCCAATTCAATCTTCATAGTCTTGTTTATATAGCACTGAGATTGTTGAATGTTGGAGCAATATTCTTGATTTAATGCTAATAACAAACTTTCCTTATCAAGCAGATCTTGTCTGGAATGAGGCTGTTGGTAATAATTTGCTTTCAATGCACAGTACCGTTGCTTACTTAATGCATGTTCTGGCTTGGCTCATTCTGACTCTGCTTAACTGCTGATGAACTGTTGTTTTCTTTATCAGAGTGTTGAGCGCAGTTCTGTTCATCAAGCTTCAGCATACACGTGAGTTAATCTTCTGATTCTGGTATTCTGATAGCAACTTCTGATGCTGATGTCAGGAACCAATATTCTGATGCTGATTAAGTGTGCTCTTGCTGATACCTATCAGAGTTTCTGCAAAGCAGAACGTAATATTTTTAGGTAGCAAATAGTTCATACATGAATCATATAAATAATATATCTTTTCATTTTGTTATCATCAAAACTTAAACATAGGGTAGTAGATTCAAACTTTGTTCTAACAATCTCCCCCTTTTTGATGATGACAAAAACTAGATATTTTTAATTGAAAATAACGTGAAAAAGTATCAGAGGTAACTAAATGATAAGATGTATCAGAGTAAGAGGTTATCAAAGATAAGGGATAAGAGTTGAGAGATACTCCCCCTGAGTTTATTGCTTCCCTTTTTAATTCCAAGAGTTCTTCAGGATCAGATTTTTATTGCCTTTCTTTGAACATCAGATTCTCAGAGTTTTGACTATCAGAAGCTTTAGATCAGCATATCAGAGTAGAGCTTCAGATCAGCGTATCAGAGCTTTTCTTGTCAGAGCTTTGCTTTGGGTCAGAGTATCAGAGCTTTAGTCTTCAGAGTATCATGGAGCTTTCTTGTACCTGTAGACTTAAGCAAAACAGAAAACATATTCAAGTATATCAGAGTTAGAATGTTCGAGAATTTCTGTCTTAGTAATTCGTTATTATTTAAAATATCATTCTTGTTCTCCCCATTTTTGTCAGCAATCAAAAAGTGTAAGTGATGTGCTAAAACATTTAAAGCAGAAAAACTTGTCATATTAAAAGGTTCAGAATCAAACAAAACAGTACAACAGATAATCAAAGAAAACATGAAAATGACATGAATGAACAACTAAGGTTGGGGAGGAAGGCGTGTGAACAGGTTCTCCAGCATGGCTTTGATCTGATCAGCAGTCTCATTCTGCTTGTGTACCATGCTGACAACTGTGTCTATCTTGCTATCCTGCACATCCATCCTTTCTTTCATCTTCTGGTCATTTTCATCCATCCTTTGCTGCAGACGCATGTCATTCAGCTTCAGCTCTTCCAGAGTCTGCCTGTCCAAGGCAGCTTGAGAAACATCAGAAGCAAAGAGCTTCTGAGAGCTTTCTGCAACATCTTCTGCTTGACTTGCTTCAGCTTGAATAGTCTTGTCTTCTTCTGGTTGCACCTTTGAAGCTGGCTGTTTCTCAGACCATTGCTCACTATCCAGAGGGAGCACGTCTTCCTGTGGCAGCTGACTTTCAACTTCCTTCAGCAGCTTGCTGAAGTTCTGTTGTGCCTGCTCATATTCAGATGGAGGCCCCTACAAATATCAACCCAATAATGTAATTACCATCTGAGTATTTTTGCATAACTCATTATAAGTCCCGGAAAGGCTAACAGGCAGGTGAATTTGGCTCCTAGTTTGCAACCACTTTGAACAGTCATTATAATTTCATTTGAGATGATCCTTGCAACATCCTCCTCCATATCCTCTCAACAATACAATATAAAAGGCATGCACTATCCAGAAGAACGGAGGATGTATGACTTCGGGGCCTGATGTTGTAGAGCATCAAGGTCAGCATCATTTGGGCTTTAGTCTTCATATTTTCTCTCTTAAACCAGATTAGAACTCCAAAGGAATTTTGCTTATAGGTCTTTCCCTCCATCATAAGGGATCTGGAGACATTTTCAAGGTTCTAGTTTCCTTGAGCCGCACGCCTCGCATATGCATCAACTTGACCTTCCTCCAAAGTGAAAGGTTTACCCATGTAATCATTTATTGCATCCCGATCAAAAGAAATGTCTCCCCCTCTAACCATAGTGATGAAATAGTATGGCTGGTTTTCTATTGGGAGAGCGTTGGCATAAAACTCTTGGATGATTTTATAATTCAGCTTGGTGGGGGAGGGGGGGGGGGGATCAACCAGTTTCTCTCAGTTTCTTCCCGAGATGATCTTTGCTTCTTGTCTGAAAGGTCCCTCTGCATCAATGAGGAATTTTCTTTTCGACCAAAATTTTGTGTTGGACTATTCTCTGTACCTTGCTTATTGTTCTGCTCCTAAGAATCTTGTCGCATCATATTGTTGTGGCTCCCTAGAGGTGCTAGCAGTTGACTCTTGTTTCATGGAGGTAAAAAGACTTCTTGGCATCATTAAAACAAACTTAAAATTTAATGTCTAGTCTAATTACGAAGATGCATCTCAAAAATTTATCTGGTGTGAATACGAACGAAGATGCATTTCAAATAATCTATGATAAAAAATGACATTTCAAAGATGGATGCATGAGGTGCAAATTAAATTATTTCAGAAATACATCTCAAGATTAAACTTTAGAAAATATATTGTGTGTGACTCAATTTTAACGTTTTAAATGAAGAGAATAATACATTCGAGAATGCATGTCCGAAATATGAGAATCAATTTTAAATTTTCATAAAATATTTTTCCGCCATTTAGAGTGAGACTAGTATTCCTTTAATAATGCATCCTTCACCATAACAAATAAATATTTCATTACACAAGAAATATAGAAAACTAAACTCATAATCCAACGGTCAAAAGATACAAACCATGTCCCAGTTAAACTAGCCGTTACAGACACGAGCCTCTTTCTCAACTATAACACTCAATTTTCCCTTTTCTTCCTCAAATCTTTTCTCACCGCACCATTTTCACCGGCGACCATGTCTTCCATCACCGCCGGCACAGCCACTCCACGTTCATGTAGATCCAAACCTCAACAAACTCCCAAACACACCGAGAATCTAAACCCTAATGTTTCCCCTTCTCCCAAAAAGGTTCAGAAACAACCTAGAAACCCTAATTCCCCTCAAACGAAAATCCGGCAGCGGAAATTCGTAGCGGTGAAGAAGAAACACGAGGACGATGGTGGTTCCGGTTCGAATTCGACGATGGTGGCGCATTGTAACTGTAAAGAGAAGAAGTGTGTTTGTGTTGCTTATCGGAATCTAAGAAAGTCTCAGGAAGATTTTTTCAAGAATCTGAATCATGATGTAGATAATGAAGAAGAAGAGGAGAAAGTTGATGATGAAATTGAGAGTGATTTTGTTGAGAAAGTTGATAATGAAGGTGCTGTGAAGAGAAGTAGGGAGAGATTGAGGGAAGAGGTGAGGGAGAGTGTTGCGCAAATTGGATCGGGGAAGGTTATGAGTTTGGTTCAGGCTTTTGAGAAGCTTTTATTTGAACCGGATTCCAAGGATGAGGATGAAAAACAGGTGAAGGAAGATGGAGAGAATGTTAGGGTTTCTGGTTCTTCGTTTTGTGCTGCGGATTTGATTTTGACATGTCAAAATCTTGGACTGGATCCTAATGCTTCTGTTTCTTCTTCTTTGGATGGCGGCTCTCGTCGAAGGTTTGATTCTGCTTAATCTAACAAGTGTTTGTTTTGATTAGTTTTAAATTTTTTGATTAATTTTCAACTGGTTATTTGATTGCAACCAAAGAAGCTAACTTCTAATTTAATATGGTTGTTATAAATTATGTCTAACTATTGTGATGAAATCCGAGTGAGTGTCATGAAATAGTGAGTGCTAATGTGATAATGAGTTCTGCTTAATCAAGTGTGTTTGGTACTGAGTAGTTTTCTTAGAAAATCATTTTTCTTAAGGGCTATTTTGATTATTACGTTTTGAATAAGAACAAGCTAACTTCTAATTTAATATATGAGTGTTATGAATTATGTCTATCCATTGCCATGAATAGTGGGGGAGTGCTAGGATCATCATGCCTCAGTGTCTCTGGTTCTGCTTAATCGAGTGTTTAGTTATGAGTAGTTTCTTAGAGAATAGTTTTTATTAAGGGCTATTTTGATTACTAGGTTTTGTTTAGTTTTGGCTGAAAATCAACTGCTTTTCAAGTGTTTAGTTTTGGCTGAAAATCAACTTCTTCTTAAATGTTTAGTTTTGAGTGGTTTTGTTTAGTTTTGGCTGAAAATCAACTTCTTTTCAAGTGCTATGTGATTGCATTTGGGTACAAATTCTGTTTTGACGGAAATCAGTTTTTTTCAAGGGCTATGTGATTGCATTTAGTTACAAATTCAGTTTTGATTAGTTTTGACAGAAATAGTTTTTTTTTTTTAAGAACTATTTTGATTGCAATTGAAAACCAATTAAGTTTTGATTAGTTATGGCAGATTTGAATATAAACAAGCTAACTTCTAATTTAATATACGAGTCTTATAAATTATGTCTATCCATTGCCATGAATAGTGGGTGAGAGCTAGGATCATCATGCCTGAGTGTCTCTGGTTCTGGTTCTGCATAATCAAGTGTTTAATTTTGAGTAGTTTTCTTAGAAAATCATTATTATTAAGGGCTATTTTGATTACTAAGGTTTTGTTTAGTTTTTGGCTGAAAATCAACTTCTTTTCAAGTGTTGATTTGAGTAGAGTTTTGTTTAGTTTTGGCTGGAAATCAACTTCTTTTCAAGTGCTATGTGATTGCATTGGATACCAATTCAGTTGTGATTAGTTTTTGACAGAAATCAGTTTTGCTTCCAGTGCTAAGTGATTGCATTTAGATACAAATTCAGTTTTGATTAGATTTGACATTTATCATTTTTTTTTCAAGAACTATTTGAATTGCAATTGAAAACCAATGAAGTTTTGATTATTTATGGAAGAAACATCTTTTTTTCAAGGGCTATTTGATTGTAATTGAATACAAGAGTAGTGCTATTTAGTACGAAATAATTTAAAGAAGAAATGCAAATGCACACATGTCACTATTTTAGAGGTGAATGTTTAATTAATTTTAAATTTAATTTCCTTTTTAATAGGGATCATGGGGGGTGGTGGTGGTAATGAATGGTTAGGATTTATTCTTTCATTTCTTGTTTTCACCTTTTCTTACTAATAAGCATTTTCCTTGCATACAAATTTAGTTTTACTTGCAATTGAATACTAAACTAACTATTTGGGGTGGTGGTGATAATGAATGGTTAGGATTTATTCTTGCATTTCTTGTTTTCACCTTTTCTTACTAATAAGCATTTTCCTTGAATACAAATTTAGTTTTACTTGCAATTGAAATACTAAACTAACTATTTGGGGGGGTGGTGATAATGAATGGTTAGGATTTATTCTTGCATTTCTTGTTTTCACCTTTTCTTACAAATAATCCTTTTCCTTGAATACAAATTTAGTTTTACTTGCAATTGAATACTAAACTAATAACTATTTGGGGTGGTGGTGATAATGAATGGTTAGGATTTATTCTTGCATTTCTTGTTTTCACCTTTTCTTACTAATAAGCATTTTCCTTGAATACAAATTTAGTTTTACTTGCAATTGAATACTAAACTAACTATTTGGATTGCAATTGAAAACCAATGAAGTTTTGATTATTTATGGCAGAAACATCTTTTTTTCAAGGGCTTTTTGATTGTAATTGAATACAAATTTAGATTTACTTGCAATTGAATACTAAACTAACTTTTTAATTTATATTAGAAGTGAGTGCTATTTTCACTGTTGTGTGGTTGATGTTTGATATTGACTTTTCACAAGTTGCAGTTTGACTTCTAAAGGAGGGAGACGTAGCAGGAGAAATGTGAGTATTTTATCACCAACAATGCAAAATAATTAATGGTATACTATAATCAATCAAGAGTTTTGAAGTTTTAATCGAATGAATTGCAGAGCTTAGAATCATCAACCACCACTCTTGGGGGAAGGAGAAGGTTGAGAAAGAAGCTTCCAAAAGTCACCCGTCCAGAACCATTTAAGCTTCGAACTGACGTAATTTCATCGCAATTGATTGACGTTATTCTGCTTTGTTGTGTTTGCCCAAAGACTTGGGATTATGACATATTTTTATGGTATATTTATGTAGCAAAGAGGAAAGATTAAAGAAGAGGAATTTGAACAAAAGGTGCAACAGATGAAGACAGAAGAAGAGAAGCAAAGGATTCCTGTTGCACAAGGTCTTCCTTGGACAACCGATGAACCCCAGGTAACACTGTTTTGCTAATTAATGAAAAGTACTTTGTTTAAGTGTTGTATGACTATGCATTATAATTAATATGGTCCTATATTGCTCTAGGTATATACATTATAGTTATAATATATGGTTTTATGTTGCATTCTTTTGGTGGTGCTATTGTAACAGTGTTTGGCAAAACCTCCCGTCAAGGAAATTACAATACCTGTTGACCCGAAGCTTCATACTGACATGCGGGCGTTGGATCGTGCTGGGTTTGATGAACAAGTGTGCATTTTCTCTTCCTTATCTCTCCTCATTGCTGTAAATTTTCAAGACTTTTGTAGTGGAGATAGAAACAAAATTTGACAAATGTTGAAATTATGCAGGTAGCAGAAAAATTGCTCTTCATAGAACAATATAAATTGGAAAGGGAGAGGCAGCAAAAGGTACGCCACTACTATTCATACATTCATGTTCCTATGATTCCTTTCGTTAAATGCTGATGTTTTTTATATGCTTCCTTTCAAAAGTTGGAAGAAGAAGAAGAAATCAAAAGGTTGCGGAAAGAACTTGTTCCAAAAGCCCAACCTATGCCATTTTTCGACAGACCCTTTATCCCAAGGAGGTGAGAAGTGATCTTCTAACATGATTACTGATTTAAAATTGCATTTGTTCTGGAGCCTCATTAGATATCTTCTGAATAAAAGGTCGGTGAAGTGTCCTACTCTACCTAAAACACCGAAGTTTCATAAGAAGGTGAAGTGCAGCGCATCATCATCATCATGGAGTGACATGAACTCCTCATCCGGCCTCAATTAAGCTTCCTTCTTACCAATCATGTAGGCAAGAATGTTCTTTTCATCCGCTTCTTCGAATAAGAATTTATCTACTTAGCAACCAATTTAGTTGCAGAGGCTTTCGCTTTCGTACAGTTTACAGTGTTTAAAAAAGCTCGAGCAAATGATGCCATCTTCTCTGAGAATTATCGATTCAATTGGTCAAATTAATTGCAGGAATCAAAATTTTGTATATATGTATCCCATCTAAAATTATGATATGACATGACAATTTGAAGTTTTTGTTTACATTAGATTTTAAGAGAAAAACTTGTGAAAGAATAATGAAATTAATGTGCTGTCTAGAAAAGTAGCTTCACCCTTTCATGAGGACCAAAGGAAATTCGAACATATACCAAAGGAAATTCGAACATATCAAAACTTAAAAGTGAAAAACTTTAACTTTTATTTAACTTGTTAATTTTGGTTCCAACTCTGAAGAAATATGAATTTTACGTCACAAGAAAAAGATTCGTGTATATCATCAGAGAAATATTACTTTTAATTTATTGCATATGTATCCTCTCACTATTGTATTATTACATTTACAACACATTTTTATTTATTTTTAATATTAGTTACATTACAAGTTACGAGGAACTATATAGTTTGTTCTCTCTTCAATCCATTGTAAACAGTTAAAGTTCTAGAGCAAAAACTCTTCTAAAGAATGATTCTCATAATAGAAAACGTACAAAATTACATAATGAATTCCATTACTCTCTTCTCTCCTGTATCATATGAAGTTGCTTATGCAGCCTAGAGTTTATGTTTTATTGTTTGTCATACATATTTTTGGTTTTATTTTTATCGTTATTGACTCTTATCACATAATTGTGCATTTTAAGATTGAGTTCTTAATCCGTTTTACGAATGCATAAATCAAACTATTAATCATAGTCTAAACAATATGTTTCTAGTCAAATTATTGATGTTTTGAATTAAAAAATCACATTTGAGAATGGTCGAAGTCATGTCAAATTTGAATTCAGAATAACACCTTATGTTATGCAAAAGTTATGTTTCTAGAAGTGTGATTTGAATCACAAACTTACATGACTCGAATCAAATTTTGTGCAAAAATAAAAAATTTGATTCTGTCAGTCTGGTACGAATCACATGAATAGTCTAACTCGAATCGATCATATTTATGAAAAACAAGATTTTACTTCAACGAAAATGATTCAAATCATAATAGTACTTGACTCAAATCAAAGATGTTTGATTCGAATCACAGACTTGCATGAATCAGATAAAATTCAGGCAATAGATTTTAGATTTTGGATATGTGAATCTGATTCAAATCAAGGACCTTGTTGACTCAAATAACTTGATTTGAATCATGATAAAGGATGATTCGAATCATACAAGTTGTTTTTCTTGGCTATTGAATCTTGATTAAAATCATTCATTCTCTTGACTCGTCGCATACTCTCGACCTATGACTCAAATCAAATAGCATTTCCTCTCATTTTTATGCTAGATGTCTGACACACATGTTCACAACATAAATTTCCACTTTATAATTTAGAACTCAAAACTCACTTTTCCTCTCAACTTTTAAAAAGGAGTTTGAATCTTGTTTTGATTTTTTGTAAATGAAATTTATTCATCTCCAACCTCTCGCATCATCCATTATCATTGAGATCAAGCTCCCATTGTAGGGTGTGAGATATGTGTGGAGGATTTCTATTGTGACTAACCTTTTGTTTGATGATTTCTTGAGAATTTAAGAGGTTTTCATTTGTGTGTGGTTATGGTTGAGATTGACAAATCCAGCGGAAAAGAAAGAATTTCTTCTCTCTATAATTACTTTGCTAGAGTTATGTGGAAGCTTATAGACAAATTTTATGTTTTTCTCATCTTCAAACAGGCCAAGGCTCAAGATATAGGTAGGATTGCATAAATATCGTTACAGAACAGAGACTTAGAGCAACATTCTTGGAGCTAGAAGATTTAAGACGAAGTTGAGTGAAGATTTTGCAAGAGCTCGGTATCGGATACTGCGTACAAATCAACAAGCATTTAGATTGGAGAATTTTATTTATAGTATTATTCAAATTGTGATTATAAAAAAACCTGTATGAATTTGTCAAAATCATAATAGAAGAACAACAAATTGTTAATGGGAAACTATTGGAGACTAAATTAGGCACAAACAAGGACGAAAGTGTTGAACTAGTATAAATCTTTGTGCAATCTTCTCTATCCCTATCTTTTTAATTTCTGGCGTAGTCTAAACATTTGGTTTTGTTACTTTCTTATAATCACATGCGGTGAGAGTTTATAGCATTAATAACGATTTCGTTGATAAGATTATGTTTTGTTAGGCTAAGACTTAAAATCGTTCTTATTGTTGATCAAAACTCAAGATTGTGATATTGGATTCTTATTGTATTGACACCCAACTTGTGTAATTCGATTTTAGTTCAATAATCGTATTGATTGTTTATGATTACTTGTTTCATCTATTTTACATTTTGTATTATGATTGAGTGATATGTATATGTTGTCCAAAAGCAAATTGAATTTTGTATGCAAGTCTTCCTCTGTGCAAAACACTTTAAAACTCTAATTTTTGAAACCTTATTTTAATCGGTCAATTTTTTTAAAACAATTATACTCAATCCCACTCTACACCATTGAATTCTCATATTCTTAACATATTATTGTATTCTTTACTTTTTTCAAGTTTTGTTTCTACATTGTTGTTATAGTTGTTGTTCTGTCATGAGAAGTTATAACATTTATCTTGACATTGTGTATTGTTAAGACATCAGTCTTGACTTCTGATATTGTGTATACCAGAATTTCTATTGGCATCAAGAGAAGGCACCATATTCTAGTTACTGGGTAAGATTCAGGGATATATTTTTTGGCAATATGGAGAAGGAATGGGGATATAACAACATACCATATAGGTTGGATGGTTCAAATTATGATTGGTGAAAAGTTAGAATGATCACTTTTCTGAAAGCTATGGATAACAAGGCTTGGAATGTTGTTTTGAAAGGATGGAAGCATCTTGTGGTCAAGGATATTAACAAAGATGGGAAAAAGACTGGAACTAAAACTATGAAACTTAAAGAAGAGTGGAATGAAGATGATGATATAGAAGCTATTAGAAATTTCAAGGCTTTAAATACTTTATTCAATGGAGTAGACAAAAATGCTTTCAGGCTGATTAATATGTGTATTGTGGCCAAGGAAGCTTGGAATTCTCAATACAACTTATGAAGGTGCTTCTAAGGTGGAAATTGCAAGACTTTAGCTTTTCACTTCAAAATTTGAGAATTTGAAGATGAATGATGATGAAACAATTCAGGAATATCAGATGAAAATTCTTGAAATTGCTAGTGCTTCAAGTGCCTTAGGAGAGAAGATGTCAGAAGCAAAGTTGTTCAGAAAAATTCTCAGGTCTTTGTCTAGGAGATTTGACATGAAGGTCACAACTATTGAAGAAGCTAAAGATATCAACAACATGATAGTTGATGGACTTATTGGGTCACTTCAAACATTTGAATTGGCTATTGGTGATGAAGATGAGGAAAAGAACAAAAGCATAGATTTTGTATCAAATGTTGGAGATGATAAAGGTCAAGTTGATTTGGTTACTGATGATGATATGTCTAATACCATTGTTTTGCTTTGGAAGCAATTCAATAGGGTATTAAAAAGATTGGACAGAAGAGGGAGACTGAATGACAGGAACATCTCATCTGACATCAATAATAAAGAAAATCTTCAGAAGAATACCATGTCTGAAGAAAAGATCAATCAAAGCAAAGGCATTTGATGTTATGAGTGTGAAGGTTTTGGTCACATCAAACCAGAATGTCCCACTTTTCTCAAAAGGCAGAAAAAGGGATTTTCTGTGTCCTGGTATGATGATGATGAATCAGAAGATGAGGCTAAAGAAGAATCTGAAAAACTTATGGTGGCTTTGTCTGGAAGATGGGCAAGTGAAGTAAAAGCTGATGCTGATAGTGTTCTCCGTGAAGATCCTGATATATTCTACAGAGATACTTCTGATAAGTATGAAGCAAATGTCGAAATAGAGGAAGATCAGAGAAAGGTCATAGATGACTTAGAAAGTGAAAACACGAATCTTCTATGTATTGTATCTCATCTTCAAAGTGAGGTAACTATTCTAAATTCCAAGATTAATAACATGTCAGCCTCATTTTAAAATTTGGAGGATGGAGTGCCTATGATAAAAGAGACTGGAGAATTAGAAGGTTACTATCAAGTTGATAATGATCAAAGAGGAGTGTCTGTGGTGAAGGTTCTTCCTGTTGAAAGAAAGGAAATAAGTAATATATCCAATCACATGTTACAACATTCTAGCAGACTTGATCAAACATGGTCCCAAGTCATTCATAAACTTGGACATGTCATTCGCCTGGTGAGCATGGTCATATAAAGCCCTTCTACTATAAACTATATGAAGATAAAAAATCTTTAATTCATTCTAAGGGTGAGAAAGTGAGAAAAAAGAAAAGGACTGATAATATGGGTGTAAACTCCAATACTCATAATTTCTTAAAAAACTCAAATGGAGAAAACAAGAATGTTGACAGTTGGTGTGCTAGGCATATGACATAAGTGCAGAAGTTAGTGCTGAATAATAGGTCTCATCTCACTAGATCTGCATGGTTTGGTGACAATGTTTCAGTATTAAAATCATAGAAGTTGGGAAACTGATGTGTAAAGGTGCTTCTATCTTGAAAGAGGTTAAAAAGAGTCAGGGTAAAAGGTCGAAGAACAACTGTTATCTAAAGAAATCTCAATCAAGTGACTATTCTCCCTCGGGTTCAAAGACTAGTACGGATGAATTAAAGTTACGGCATGAGAAATTTGGACATCTTCATTTCAAAAGAATGAAGGAATTCTATCTAAAGGAGCCATTAGAAACTTGCCAAAGCTAGATATTGAAGAAGGGTTAGTATGTGATGAGTGTGATCTTAGCTCTGAATTCGTGAT